ATGAGCTCAACAGGACAAGTTTATTTCAGAACAACCCGAGAGGGACCCCTCTGACGCTAGAGACTAGCTGCTTTCCAAGGGCCACAGGGTCTTGGTGTAGAGTCGTGGGGAAGGGAGCTCAGTGAGAGAGGGCTGAGGCTTCCTGCCAAGAACAAAGCTTGAGAGAGCACTGGCAGTGATGGCTGCCCAAGGACAGGCTTAGGAAAGTGCAGGGGGCAGTGTCTGCTATCATAGCAGGGCTGATGGTGTTATGAGTGCCCCCAATCAGCTGTGCCAGGAAGGATCTCTCTCTGATCAAGATGGCATTGGATTCCTTCACTGTGAATATAGTAAAATACATTTAAACTGATGAGATCAACAAATGCTACAAGAGTGGTTGATAAAATTTAATATCCATTTTCAATTTACATTTCTAAAAAATTTTTAGAAAATTAGATAAAGTAGAACATTAAACTTAACCTTGCATTTCAAAGGGTGGAATCACAGACACTGTCATTAAATTGAGGTGAGAAAAGGATGCCAGGGACTGTATTTATTAGGTCACATTGTTCTTGAATTCTCATACAATACAAATGCATATTAAGTAGACATAAGAGATGCATTTCTTGGGTCAGGGATTTAGCTCAGTTGTTCCACTGCCTGCCTCGAAAGCACATGGTCTGAGTTTGATCCCTGGTACAAAAGAGAGAGAGAGAGAGTGACAGAGAGAGAGAGAGAGAGAGAGAGAGAGAGATGAATTTCTGGGGGAAGGGATGAAATCATGCTATATTTGGACAGTTTAATATCTCCAGAAAAACCTAGGAGACCATCTGAAAGGCTATCAAAAAAATTAATGAGAGTTTAGTAATATGGCCACATACAGGCTCAATATGCCAAAGTCAATAGTTTGGTTTTTTAAAACTTGTCAGCCATAACAGATAAGAATAGGGGGAAAAGATATTTCTATTTTTATAACAAAACACAATCTCTAAGAATGACTCCACAAAGATAATGGAAGAATCCACAGGAAGACAAATGTCAAACTTCACAAAGGCTGTGAAAGATTTAAGAAAATTGAGGGAACATGTTCCTGAGTAGGGAAAAAAGATGTTCATTTACCCCAAATTAAATGAAGGTGTAGTGCAATAGCAAACCAACAAAGGTTGTTCGTAACTTGACAGAAATGATATTAAAAAGTGAATCAAAAAGGTTGGAAGGGTTAATGGAATTTTTCAAAAAAGAAAGGTAAAATGCAGCCATGAAGCTTCCAGCCATGAAAATATGATGTAAGTCTACATCAATTAAAGTGGTGTGGGATTGGTGTGATGACAGATTCGTGCCAGGGAAAACAAAGCCCATTTTTCTGGGGTTCTTTCTTGATCTTGTTCTTGTCCTCCCCACCCCAGTTTCTGCTAACCTCCTAAATAATCATTTGCTGTACAGTGCTCTCTAT